GAATCAGACTTCACCAACCTCGACACCGGGAAAAAACCCAATGAAATTGTCATCCAGCTTGACCCCAATCAGACTATTTAGGACGATTTCCTCGGCGCCAAGGTCATATGGTAAACAGAAGGCAGCGGCGCCGATGGGAGTAAGAACTTAGTGTTGAAGGTTCGGAAAGCTGATAAGCGGCGGATTCTGCGGCCTTATTTACAACACATCCACGTCGTTGCCGACGAGCTCGAGCAGAAGAAACGGGAGTTGAAGCTTTACATGAACGTCGACGCGCCCGACTGAGCGTGGAAGCCAGTCCCCTTCATTCACCCGTCGACCTTGGAGACCATATTAATAGAGTTCGACCTTAAATCGAAAGTCAAATCCGATTTGGAGTCATTTCTCAAGACGAAGCAGTACTATCACCGACTGGGTCGAGTCTGGAAATGGAGCTTTCTGCTATACGGGTCGTCGAGTACCGGAAAGTCAAGTTTCGTGGCCGTTATGGTGAATTTTCTCGGGTACGACGTGTACGGTATGGATCTCTCGCGTGTCAAAGACAACTCGGAGCTGAAGATTCTGCTGTTGTAGACGACAACAAAATCGGTCATTGTGATCGGGGACTTGAACCGATATATCGCTGAGAAACCCGCGGGTCTGAGTTTTTCGGGTATATCGAATTTCATGGACGGGTTGCTGAATTCGTGTTACGACGAGGAGAGACTCATAGTGTTCACGATGAATTCGAAAGACCACATCAACCCGGCCTTTCTTCGACCGGGTCGGATCGACGTCCACATCCACTTTCCACTCTGTGATTTCGTAGCATTCAAAAATCTGGCGGCGAGTTATCTCGGGTTGAAGGAGAACAAGCTCTTCCCGCAAGTGGAGGGCTGTCAGGTGGGGAAGGCGAATGGGGTTCTAGGGTTTTTTTTTTTTTTTCACCCCAATGTCTTATCTTCTCACCCACCTTTTAATGATTTTTTTTAATTACAAATTTGTTCATTTACAAAAAGACTGATAAGGACATTAATTATCTTATTTTGCTTTTTTTTTTTTTTTAAAGGTTGGGCGTGGGAGACGATTTGTCTACCTTAAAATCCTAATTCATATTTTCATCTCTTTTCATTCAAAGAAAGTAAAAAAATATCAATGGACTTAGAAGATGACTTTTTCATTGAACAAGTGGAAGATGACGCTTTTACATAAGAGGTAGAAGATTATGTTTCCATTTAAAAGGTAGAAGAATAATTTGTGTGTAGGTCATTTGAATTTGTTCATCATATTTTTGAATTTGTCGTTGTCAAATTCTTTTGAATTTGGATACATCTGTCGTTTCCGTATGAATTTGCAGACTTCAATGGTTTTCATTTACATATTATTTGTTATATTTTTTAAGGGACAATTTTATAATTTCATATGTATATATTAAAGGTTATTTTGGGAATAATAGTGGGTGGGGAAATAACGATTTAATTTTTTAACATTTTAAGGTGAGTGGGATTATAATGTGGGTAGGAAAATAAGACAATGTAGTGGGTCTAGTAGCTCTCTTTTAAATTTGGGCGGAATTTTTTTTTTTTAATTTTAATTTCCACGTGGACCCCTTAATGACACGTGGCGCCCAATCATTGTCCACATGGGCGTCATGTCATCAGTTAACGGGAGACTTAACAGCCAGACTAACGGATGTATGAGACTGTCCCAAAATTAACACTTCAGATATAACTCTATGACGAAAAAAACTTCATGTACTAAATGTTGAAAACCACGAAACTTGAAGGTAGTAAACTGAGATTTACCCTATATATATGTCAAAATCCAACCATCTTATCCATTGAACTAGCTAGAAGCTATCATTTCAGGTCAAAGCACTAAAAGAAAGGGACCATAAAACGCGGCGGCATAGGAACCACGGGACCCCCTACTAGTAAATGGAAGACGGAAATGCGCTCTTGTGCACTAGCTGATAAGGCCCATTTCCTTTAGTGCAAGCACTTAGTAAGCAAGTTAACTGCAAAAGTCAAGGGTTTCAATCGACTTGATGCCAACATTGGCAGAGCCAACACGGAGATATTAGATGCAATTGACCCCAACAATTTCAAATATCTCCCTTTTAAATTTTTATATGACCTCTATAATAGTTAAGGCAAACAAAATAATAAGTTTATAATTGAAACATACCAAAACTGTTACTTTTTCAAAGCAGGGAGAGCTTTTCCAGTTATCAATATTGTGGAAGAATTCACATCGTATAAAAATTAATGGTCAAATGATAATTTAGTTATATACAATGAGAAATATATATTTGATTCTATTGGTAATGATGTTGTGGTACAGTGTTTATAAAATATGAGAACATGTCATAGACAATAAATGAAGTGAAAGTATGATTAATTTCCAAAAACTTCTCGTTTATGATCCCATTGTTGTAAATTCCGAGCTCTGTCGCTGGAAGCCGACCTTCGTGCATGATTTCTTTATGAAGATGACAAATTCCCATGGTTTCACATAGAGGAGAGATGAGACTTTTTATCAAGCATTACCATCCTCGAAAAGCTATTACTTATGTGAAACCAAGGTGCCACACAACCACTGGCGAAGCCAATGCAGAGGCATTGGCATCCCTTGACCCCAATAACCTTGTCAAGTTATCCCTTTGAAAATTATATGAACCCGTATAGCAGCACTGCAATAGCAGCATTGCAGCAGCACGCCGCCTTGTAAACTTATCCCAATAACCTTTTACTTGTAAACTTATCCTTTTCTAAACTTATCCCTAAAAAGCTAAAAAATAATTTTTAATTAATGTCTTTTTAATTTAACAAAGCTACGTGGTTTGCATAATGAGTTTTCTGCATTGAAAGAAATAATTAGTAGGCTTGCACAAAAGTTGGCGGAGACAAAGAGGAACATACAGTATCCCTTGGTGTACTTGCTAGTGAAATTAGCATTGATTTTAATTGTTGCGACTGATTCAGTTGAAAGAGTTTTTTCGGTGATGAAAATTATGAAGAATCCACATCTTAATAAGATGGGTGATTAATGATTGAATGATAGTTTGGTTGTGTACATTAAGAAAGATGTAATTGATTCTATTGATAATAATGTTGTGATACGATGTTTTCAAAATATGAAAACACGTCGTGAACAATTATAAATGAAAGTATGATGGATTTTTTAAAGTTATTTTTTGACCCCATCACTTTAAATTCCTGGCTCTGCTACTGCACACAACTGCCACTGCACACAACCCTAGCTAGCTTTGTGGCTTTACGCGGATCTTACTACTTACTACTAGAAAACCGAATTAAGGAGCAAACAAAGTAAACGAAGGGACTCATCAAGCGACCACTACTTTGTTGTGTAGGCAGAATCTAGTTTCAAATCATCAGATGACGAAGTGACTGCACCAATGAATCAAGCTGATGAACACTTTTTAGTTTGATAGTAAAAATATTTATAAACCTAAACCAAATTTCCCACTACTTTGAGGTTTTTGCATATTTTCTTTTTCTTCACTATAAATTTGGAGGATCGATTTTGTTATAGATAATACCTGTAATCAGATTTTTTTAACTATGAATTTGAAACCAAATAGTATTTACTTATTTAATTTAAAGAACGACTAATCCTATTGTTCTGTATAAACTCTTTATTAACGAAACTGACTGTACATAAATAAATAAATAAACTCTTTTATTAACGAAACTGCATATAATTCAATATAAAAAAAGCCATTAAATATAGTTGGGGACGGATTACTGTGCTAAACTTTAGCTAGAGAAACAGATTAACTCATCTGTCTCTTTTATGAAAAAAAAACAAGCCACAGCTTGCAAATCTGTCCCTTAATGAAGAGTCCCAAAAAAGGGTTTTTCTTGCGGTGTTGCTAAAAATAAGTCAACATAATATACCAGATGAAACTCAGATATCATTACACATCGATCAAATATGTATGGCCAAAACTAAAACCTATTTATAAAAAAATAGGCTAATATATAGTGGAACCAGAAGTTAATTTTAGGGGACAATGCAACTCGTTTTCTAAGAACACATAAACGTGGAATGTATTTAATCATCAAGCTAAGCGCCTCCATTTCTGCTGGAAAAGCTTCTAGAATTAAACCCTAGGTCCATTTTCAAAGGCACAACTAGTCACTTTCATAGGCGGTAGCAACCACATGTTTAATCACATTAAACTCAGCCTCTCTCTCAATTACCAAATTTGGCTGTATTTTCGGTGTAGTATCTCGTAGTCTATCGTAATTTCTCTCAGCTTCAACTTAAAAGTTGATCAGGGGCATATCTAAAGGTTTGTTAATTGAAATATTATGATCTTCTTTGGCATGTGAAACTACCTTCCGGCTGTGATACGGACTAAGGTAATTATGTTCACCCATTATTCGATCTTAATCCATCGGTAGGTGGGTATATTATTTTTTATGTACTTTCTCCTCCACCGTTAGATTAAGATTGAATGGAGATCGAGGATATTTTTTCTGGTCTAGCAACGGGACTCGATACCATCCTATCAAAATGATATTTAAAAGATTCAGTGGCAATTGAGTGAACTTGGATTTCAATAATTTGCCACCCTGTACGTGGTTTATGCGTTTGTGTCCTACATGTAATATACCAAATGTATACTCGTGAAGGGCAGTGTGGGAATGACGTTAATCCTTACCACATTTATTGGTACAACAATGTAGGTCACTCTGTTCAACTGACTTCGGCTACTTCTACATTTTATGGGTCAAATCATGATTTTAGTTTTTGTGGTTTCAACTTTTGCCATTTGAGGCTAGCTAGCTTGTAATTTACTAGGGTAATGTTAGAGAGAATAAATTTTAAGACCAAATTTTATAAATTATATAATACATGTGTTATCAACATAAAATAAACAACATTTAATGTCTTCATTTTGTCAAACTTATTAGAAATGGCATATGAACGTATTTATGTTCCAACAACTTCTATACTCCAATTGCCTATAATTCAGACTTGTATTTATGTTCCAACCAATATTGTTTATACATGAGAATCCCCCTCCCCCCTACTCTCACCACACTTCCAAGGTTCTTTTGCTATAACAAGAAAAACAGCTGATCATGGCATACCTGCACATTTCATGTCTTCTTCTAGCTCAATGCCTCCTACTACTAGTCACAAGAATTGTTGCCAAAGTTCCGGCAGTCGTGGTGTTCGGGGACTCGTCGGTGGATGCTGGGAACAACAACCAGATTTCAACAGTTTTGAAGAGTAATTTCCAGCCCTATGGTCGTGACTTTGACGGTGGTATGCCAACTGGGAGGTTCTCCAATGGCAGAGTGCCTACGGACTTCATCTCCAAAGCTTTTGGACTTAGATCATCCGTACCTGCCTACTTGGATCCTGCTTATAACATATCAGATTTTGCAGTCGGGGTTACTTTCGCTTCTGCTGGCACTGGCTATGACACTGCAACTTCAGATGTGCTAGTATGTCCCAAATATTTATTATAAAGCTTCTTTCTCCACAGATAAATATAGTTACTATTAGCTTGATCGATTAATTGGTTCACTTTCTATTGTGTTATAATGATTATCTAATATGATATTAGATATCTAGCTAGTGTTGCACCGGCCTATTTACTTCACTTTCTACCAACAAGGGAAAATAATAGCGTTTGATGCCAAGTACCAATTTACAGTATCTATTACATTTTTTATAATTAGTCAATATTTTATCACAATTTATTTACAGTATATATTAATATGAAAAATGTATTATGTATTGTAGATATCACTCGATATCAGTTCATGATTCTAATTAAGCCTTGTACTAATTCAGTATATATATCACACTAATGGACTGTACTACCTTACTTTGTAGTCAGTGATACCACTATGGAAGCAGTTGCAGTACTACAAAGAATTTCAGAACAAGTTGAGACTTTATATGGGAGGAAACAAAGCAGACCAAACCATCCATGAAGCTTTGCACATAATGAGCTTAGGAACCAATGACTTCCTTGAAAACTACTACACATACCCCGGCCGGTCGAATCAATACTCTATCGAACAATACCAAGATTTTCTCATTGGAATTGCAGGAAATTTCATCAAACAACTCTACGGTCTCGGAGCTCGGAAAATATCCTTAGGAGGCCTACCTCCAATGGGGTGCTTGCCACTGGAGAGAACCACAAATATCATGGGTGGAAATGACTGCGTTTCAAATTACAACAATGTGGCTTTAGAGTTCAATGGCAAGCTGAAGATCTTGACTACAAATCTGAATAAACAGCTTCCTGGGATCAAATTGGTTTTTTCAAACCCATATTACATTTTCCTGTACATGATAAGAAGGCCTTCTTTGTATGGTAAGTCAGTTGACTTGTTAAGTGTTCCTTGTTGCCATGGTTTGCTTCTTTCATGCTTACATGTAAAATCATCAATGAATTTCACCCAACAACTAAACCAAAACTTTCTCACTTTAGCATTTAAGTAGTCACATTATCTGGGTGGTGGATAATATGTGATATTATTTCTGTTATTGTTTACCAATTTTATTTTTTTAATATTTTACACTAGGAGTGAAAATTTAGACTAAATTACACAATTAGCCAACTATAATATATAACATGATATTAAATTCGTTATTCACAAGAGTTGAACTAATACCTCTCACTTAGTAATAAGAAGGATATTTAGTGACATTGTTTTCCAATTTAAACTGGGACATTTGTTAAAGGAAAGTCCTACTAGTACTCCGAAAAATTCTTCTTGCACTCCTTTTTTTTCATTCAACACTAGTTAAAGAGGCATGCAAGATGATTTTTTTAGAGCGTTAATAAATGTGTCGTATAAAACTATAATTTATCAGTGAAGAGCACCGACTAACCATTGATGATCAAATTCTTCTGCAATTGACAGGATTCGAGGTGTCATCGGTGGCGTGTTGTGCCAGTGGAATGTTTGAAATGGGCTACGCATGCAATCGAAACAACCTGTTCACTTGCACAGACGCAAGCAAATACATTTTCTGGGATGCCTTTCATCCTACTGAAAAAGCAAACCATATAATCTCTGATTATGTGGTGAAAAAAGTACTTGCCCAGTTCCTTTGATTAGCTTCAAATTAAGAGAAATGTACTCGCCATATATATGCTTTGTGATCATATATGTATTCTACGCGATGCTGTGTTGGTAGAAGAATATGATGTTTGCAGAAAAATGGAATTAAAGCCTAGGATCTTATGAACCTATGGTGCCTGTGATATTAGTACACATTCCTGTACCCATTTCTGAGTGACCCAAAACAAAAATTAAATGTTGTGTGAAAGGACATTTGTGGCAGCGTCTGATTATTAGTTATGAATTTGAATGGTTTTATTATTAAAGTATTGTAATTCGAATAGGCTATGTGAAATCCCGTTCCTGGATTTCACTGAGATTTTTTATTATTTTTGAGAAATTATATTAATTTATTTGAATTTAGATTTTAATTAAATTAGTTACGAAGTTTGAAGTTTGGAAGGTAATTATTTAAAATTTGTTGACCTTTTGAGGTCACAATTAACGTATTCGAATAGATCTTAAAACTACGAGCGCATAGGCGAAAGCTGTTTGCCCGGATTATAACGGTATAAATACGAACATTTAAAGTTGTGTTACTAACCTATAGATTTTTAAATTTATTTTCAACTCCCATCTTGTGGGAAAGAGGCAATCATATTTATGTGGGATAAGGAAACCAATAAGAAGAAAAGAAAGGAGGGAAAGGAGGAAAGGGAGAGGGAGAGAACCAGCCAACCCGGTTTCTCCACCCGACCTGCCAAATTGACCCGCTCATATCTCCTTCATATGAACTCCATTTTGGGTGATCTCTGTGTCCGTGGAAAGCCCTTGGTAAGCCCTACATCTTTGTAGTGTTACATTTCCCAAATTCTTTCCCATTTTTCCAGTTCGAAGCCACAAACCCACGGGGGTTCCGGCGGCTTTATCCCTTTTTTCGGGGGCTTCGGCAAGTTTCACCATCCATGACCACCACCAAAAGACTCCCCTCAACCCTAGGAACAAAGCCCAAGTAGTGTTGGAGGCGTCGGAGTTCGATTGGAAGCCGAATCAAAGCACACATTTTTTTAGGGTTTTGGCGAGTTTGAGTGAAATTGAGATGTTTCCCGGCCAAATTGGACTTGGCCACAGGTATAAAGTTTGCTCTATCTTTGAGATCTTCATTTTTGTAATTTTTGGTAATTTTTAAAAATAGTTGAATTTTCCGACGAGTCCGGACGACCGACCGCCCCTTGCGGCGATTCATGCGACGGCGCGTGACCAGTGGGCCTATATTGGTTAGATAGTGACTTGAATATATGAGATATGTTTATTATCTTAATTTCTTATATTGGTATCAATTGTGATTAAGAAGTGATATTATAAATATTGCTTTTATTGAAATGTGATTTTTATATATTTAGCTATAGACCTATGCTTATTAAATAGGATTTGGCTTGTGCACTGATGATGTTTGTGACATATATGTGTTTAATTATCTTTTTAATAATGTGATTGATAATTATGATGAATGTTATGACAATTATGGGATTTAAATATTGTTTGATAATTATTTGGATATGATTGCCAACTGAATACCTATTTAAAATTGGCATTACTACCTAGCATGAGATGTAGATGGAGGAGTTAGGTACTTTATTAGATTTTTAGTAAAAATAGTAATTAAGGGAATTCCTTGAGTTGCGCTTCATATGATTAGATGCTGGTTGATATGTGGAATCAATAGATAGCTTGTATGCGCATAATTATGTTAATGTGTGATGATGAGATTGCACCACGTAGTAGTGGTACATGGATGGTCCTGCTTGGTATATCCGCGATGGGGGACCATATGTATTCAAGGGTGATCATGCTTGGTATATCCGCGATGGGTGATCACTGCCTGCACGATGAGTTTATGCCTATGATCCTGCTTGGTATATCCACGATGGGGGACCATACGCATTCTAGAGGTGATGATGATTGGTTGTACATGGTACATTTTATAGGCGATCATATTTGGTTTGGTTCCGTTGAGTGGTCCGGAACCCGAGGTTGTTGAATTTCGTGGAGTGGCCTAAAATCCCATTATTTAGAGAAGTAGGTTTGGCCTAATTGTGTCACTCTAGCCTTAGTTTTATATATATTTGTGTCAATGGTTTCGAGAGTCTTGCGAATTGAGTTAGAAAATATGTTGAACGTCTGAGTGACTCCTTTCGGATTTCTATGATTCGATTATGATTTCATAAGGTATAAATTTAGAAGATATGTGAATGATTATTTTTACGTTAATCAAATTAATTAATTAATGCGGCTAGAGAATGGTTTTGTGTTTCGTCGGCGCTTAAATATGATGTGTGTTGTGAATTGCGATATCATGATGAGACATAATGATTTATATGTTGGATGGGAAAGAAATCATGTTTTCATGGGGATTGGTTATGTAGCTTGAGTCCAGGAATCACATGTTGTCAGGTTATAATAAATTATTGAGGAATGCTATGCTTTTCTGCTTGAAGTTAGTGGAATAAACGTCTGATTTTGTGATAAGTGAACTACTAATGGCTTGATCCCTTTTGAGGGTACGTAGGAAGTCTAACGAGGAGGTTAAATGCAACTATAAGGTAAACGAAAAATTTCTTTGCAATTTGATTCTCGAATTGTGATTTGCCATATTCATGAAACGGGGTATGTAAGATATACGAGTAATTGGGTGAGGGTGACGTCACGTGTCGATCCTAGACGTATGTCGGGATTGGGGCGTGACAACTTTAATGGTATCAGAGCAAATAATCCTACTCTATGGTACGCAACCTTCTCGAGTATTGTTGGCGTGAATTACGATATGCATTGTGGTTACATGATTTCACAATTTTTATGCATAAAGATGCATTCATGTGATATATGTATATATATGGGAATTATGATTTTTATTGGTATTACATTGGCCAACGGGTCTTGAACCATTTGAATTACTAAAATTAGTATTACTAGAGGCTCAGTGAAGCTTTGCGGACTTGTATCGGTGTGTGACTTTAATATATGTGATATTGGTGATTACCCTGTTTTCGTAATTGTTATCCTATGTGGATATGACTTGGTTTTATAAATGTGTTTTCTATTAAAATGTGATTCTTTTATAATTGGCCATCGATCTATAATTATTAAATGTGATTTGATTCACGGATTGGTAATATTTATGGAAAAGTGATTCGAATTGCATATTGAAATATTTTGTAAATTGAGGGCTAGTAGTGGACTATGACCCTACTTGGTTAATCCGCATTAAGGGGTCACTAGTGGTCTTGCTTGGTTAATCCGCATTGAGGGACCATATTATATACATGGATCGTGCTTGGTTAATCCACGTTGGGCGATCCTTATGGCCATGTATGCTTAGGAGTGATCATGCTTGGTTAACCTGCATTGGGTGATCACTTCCTAACAGCTGTAGGGGTGGCTCTGCTTGGTTAATCCGCTTTGGGGGGCCACTTTTTGTTTGGTTACTTATGTAGACTTCGGCCTAACTGCATCCTCTAGCCCTACTTTTCATTGTGTTGTATAAGATTATGGTTGTGAGATATTGTGATTTGTTTTAGATGTACTATTGGATGTCTAGGTGACTCCTTCAGAGTTTTCAAAGGTTTGGTGTTGATTTCTTATGAATGATTTATATTCAAGGTTTATAAATTGTGATTAATGGTTGGTTTTATTAATTGTATCACATGCTTGTATTATTGTCGCTCACCCGAGCTTTGCAGTTATCCGAGTTTTAGTTAGCCAGTGCACCATTCTCATGATGTAGGCACTGATTATGCATGTGATAGATTTGGGTAGATTACGAGAAACCACTGGATATTTTGGATTTCGTTGAGCTGTTCGAAATCCTTGCTTTTGCTTATTTTCATAAGGTTAGTCTGACCCTAGATTTGAGTGAATGGGGAGTAATCATAGTAGACCCTGTGAATATAAATGAAATGCACCATGTTATTACTTATAATCCAAGTGGGGATCTATATAGAGTTCCTTAATTAAATTTGTGAAATGATATGTTGTTTCATTGATAGATTGATGTAGTTAGACACTAATGTCGTGCATCTTTGATTCATGGAAATGAGTAATTGAAGTGATTGTGGAATAATGTTGGATGTGATTGTTATTATTATGAATGGATTAGTGGATTAATGTGGCTTGAGAATAAGACTATGCTTCGTTGGTTCTTTGATATGTTACATGCTATGAAGTAAGGTATCATGTCGAACCATAGTGATTTATCTAATTGATGAAATGGAAATCTTAATGTCGTGTGGTTTGTTATGTAGCCCTGAAATCTAATGATTCATGCTTGTTGAATTCCATGAAGTGTTTCTGCAACTCTGTGTTTTCTTGTTGGATAGCCAGTGGTTTTGAGTTCTTGTGATTGATGGCATGATATTAGATTGACTAACAAAATTTAAAGTTGTACTGGTAGGACGAAAGAATTTAATAAGTGTTACATGGTTTGACTAAATGTGAGATTCTTTGATCAGCTTGCAACGGTTTTTGGGTTAACATAATGTGTAACTCTGACAAGACGCTACTTAACTGTTTGATCTGGTTGGTTTGAAGGCTTGTGTTGCTTGTGTGACATTTCTTTTGGTTGGTATCGATATGTTGAGCTCATCAATTCTACTAACTTATTCCAAAGCAGAGTTTCTATCGATGAATGTTGATAGTATGTTGAATAAGTGGTTCGGCTAATTTCTATTTAATCTTAGGAAATGTGGTGAGAAATTCACATGCATCTTTGTTACTTCAAATAGTAGTTAGAATGCCTTTCATTTAAATCATGGATTTGGATGATTGTGAAATGGTTGTGTTCATATGATTGAATGGGAGATTTTATTTTATTTATTTATTATTTATTTAATTTTTTTAATATCATATTTCATGTTATAGCTTCAAAGATGAGTGTTGAATGAAGTCTCGAATTAATCTTGAATTGGGTTGACATTATGTTATGCGATATTAAAATTTTGATCGTTAAGATGATTGTGCAATTGTGATAAGTAGATAGGAATGTCGTATTATATCTGTGCAATTGAGAAATGTTGAATCGAGCGAAAAGGTCGTGGAACGTGAGAAATGGATGAGTGGACACTAAGACCCAATATTTATGCGGAGAAGCCTTATGTGTGGGCTGCAAGAATAAATTATCGAAGTGATAAATATGTGTGATGTGCATAGGCCAGGTACATTATAATCTTTTACAGACTACTAGTCACTTATGTGGATAAAAGAAAAAGATGATGAAATCGTTGTTCGCCAATGATGATTATGGCTAGACATTTTCAAATCTTATGGCCAT